CCCTGCTATACGCTCTGAATAACTTCATTCTGGTCCAAGAGTCATCAATGTCATGGGGAGAGACCATTTGGGTCATGAAATATCCTTCAAGTTAACACTAGAGGCAATGAAAACAGCATGGGAGTAGCTGGTTCTAGGGGAGTTATCCCAGAGTGCTCAGTAGAAAGCACTGAATTCCTCTTCAGATTATTCAGGGTAACCATAAAAATTGGGTATTAAAAAAAAACCAAAACACCAAAACCAAACAACGAAACAAAACAAAACAAAACAAAGAATACAAAACATACACAAGGAGATGCAGCTTAACAGCTTGCGCTTCTCATCGTCTTTGACTGAAGTGTGAAATGAAGATTGTCTTAGAGCAGCCAGTCAGTCTCCTGTGCCGTATTTGTGCGACACACTGATGCCGCTCCTAAACAAAAGAGTTGCACTAGGATCCAGGTACTCTGAGTGAAGCCAGCCTGGACCTTTGAAGGCAGCACAGAGCCAACGCACAGAGCAGCTCACCTTTCCATAGCCACCATGAGCTGACTTGTTGCAGTCTGCCAGGACTAGCTTTAGAAGGAAAAGGCTGTGGGGTTTATCTCAATGCACTTTGCCCCTGTCTTTGTTAGGGATTTTGGAGGAGGTTGTTGACACTGCATCTTAAATGCCTTTTATCCCAAATCCTCTCCTTCTGCCTTAAAGATGTGCAGCCAAAATGAAAGCCACGGCTGAATGAAGGAGACTCTGAATGCCACCAGGGTGATGAAGACCTCCAGTTTGCCCTGTGCAGCAGGTTTTACCCCAGCTTTGGGCCCGGGTTCTCCCTCCCTTCCCACCCCTCCGACAGAGCAGTCTGCTCCGCCATCCTGGCACCAGGCAGGAACCGATATACATTCTCCCCGTCCCCGACAGCCAGGAGCTCATGGGCTGTGTCAGGCCAGAGTAATGGCTCTGTCTCTGTGAGTTACTGGCAGAGCAGCCTCCGCTGCTTTCAGCTCCTGTCTCGGGCCATTTCTGGCTGTCTCCAAGGTGCCAGGCCCTGGGCCAGCACCGGCGCCTTTTTACAGCCGGATTACACAACCCTCTCTCCAGGTTTTTTCTTCTTTTCTGTGCATAGCTAGGTTTTCCCTCCTGTCTGCAAGGATTGCTAAGGCCCCACAGTGGGGCTGGAGGGAAATGCCGGAGTTAAAGCATGAGCCCAGTGGCTGTTTCTATATGCTGTTCAAGTGGCCAAGACCCAATAAAAACCTTTTCCATAAGGAGGGAAAGAAAAAGGGTGTTGTTCCCAGGAGCCCACTACCGATTCCCAGGGTGTCTCCTGCCAAGAAGAGAAAATTTTCTTTTGTCTCCCAGCGTCCTTGCCAGAGTTCAGTCCAACTGATTGCGTTTAACCTGTTCTGAGATCCGACCGTGCACCGAGTCCTTCTGCACTCATGCTCAGATCACGTCCGTGCACACAGCTCCGTGAGCTGCTGGTGCACCGTGGTGGACAGCCGGTGCATCACACCCCTGAGATAGCACCTCCACTCACAGCATCACTAGAGAAGTCTGATTCTTTTCTGAGAAGTTGGAAACTAAAAGCAAGCCTCCCTTCTCTATTTGCTGATCTCCTGAGGCTCCTTTTAATCTTCTTACTGTAAGCAGACATCTTTGGAGTCACTAGGCCCACCACAGTCATAGCTAGATAACACATCACACTAATAAGCTAGATTGAAACAACCATATGGGGTCAGACCCAAGGCCAGTCTTGTTCCTGTCTCATCTCCATGGCAGAGTAAAAATCAGCTTGGAAAAATAAAAATGCCGGGTAAGCATATAGTAGTATATCTTCAAAGAGATCCCCAAGACTCCTGTAATTTGTGCTCGGAGACCCCCTGATGCAGAATGGTGTCACTTTACTTCATAGTACTGAATGGAGGTTGCTTTTGTGAATGTTTCCATGTAGTTTTTATAACTTTGGCAGTTTTCAGCATCAACAGAGAACTGTGGAAAGGTGGTCTGCTGTTCAGCTGGGCACTTTGTGCAGGACCAGCTCCTGAGGTTCACTGTGGGCTAGGCACTGCTTGGTGTCTCATCATGCTCTGTAGTTCTTGTATTGGAAGAGATGATCTCTCCCATCAGTAGTCCGTTCCTACCATCAACAAGCCACTAAGTTTCATAGACCTCCTTCACATCCATCCATAATCTCTTTCCAAGGCCGAAAGGTCATAGTCCGTGTAGTCTTTCCTCCTACAGAACATGCTCCATAACTTTGTTCAAGGCTGTAAACAGGCCACCCTTACCACTTCCCCTATATCCTTCTGTCAGGAAGACCATGCAGTGCACATAATATTCAAGATGCAGGTGCAGAGTGGAGTTATACACTGGCATAGTGTTTTCTATTTCATTCTCTCTCTTCCTTTCTTAATTTATCCATTCATAATCATTCATAACATTTAATGTCTGTTTTTTATCGCTATTGAATAATTATTGTAACCCTTAGATCTTGTTCCCCAGTGACAGGTCTGCTCAGAGGTCGTTGCCGTAGATGTGAGCTCATAATTGTTTTGGGGTGGGTTTTTTCCCAATTTCTGTTCCCTACATGGATTTGCAGCTGCTCTCACTCAGTAGCTCAAAAGCAGCCCACGACAAGAATTACTTTGAGGGTTGCTGATCATGTTCAGTGTACACCATCAGATCGGGGTGCATCCTCACAGCACGAAGGAGAGGCTGAAGGTCAGGAGTGTGGCAGATGGAGGGATGGTTAAAACAGGTATTGGTTGGGAATAGAAGAATCTGATGCTGAAGGTGGCCATAAATAATGCCATCAAAGAAGAGCTTTCATTTGAGGGAAAAGATGGAATTATTTATGAACTTCATGCATATGATCATTTGTGCTGCTCTCTGTTAAATAATACAGCTGTGGACATCGGTAACTTGGAAAACTTGTGACATTACACCAATTGTGGGAGAAAACAAAATGTTTTTCATTGAGAAGAGCTGTTCTGACCAAGTTTTGGGGTTTTTTTTCTTCACCTTTTGGGAAACTCTTAATTTCATTCCATTTTTTGCTCTGTATGTGCTTTTGTCTTTATGTGTACATTCTTGCTGCATCTTTTCATGGCAGACTAATGGCCTGCAAAAATGCTGTGGGTAGAAGTTTCACTTCAGGAAGTCTCAAACTTGTCTTATTAAGACACACACAGAGATAAAAAGGTTTCAGTTTTATAGTTGCAGTGGTTCTTAAATAAGTTCCAAAATAGATAATGGAATAAGTCAACAATTTTATCACCTTTTCTGTCATATTAATATTAATCACCATTGTGTAACATGATGGAATAAAGTAAGCATAAAAAAGCTCTGTGCCATAGAGTTTAATGAAAACCTCAACTGCAGATTTCAAGAACTGAAGTGGTTTACATTCTTCTGAACAATACTGTTCCAAAATTTTATTTGAAAAAAAATAAAATAATCTCTTTCAAAGGACTATAACAGAGTTATTTTTCTTCCTTGGAATTAAAATAAAGATAATTTCAGAATGTTTTCACTTCACATTGAGAAGACCAGGTTTACCTGGTTCGTACATCTGCCACTCTCTAGCCACCAAATGACCTCACCCAGAGCCTTCTCCCTCTGAGCAGCTGCAGGGATGCAGGAGCAACTTCAAACACACCTTGTTTTTTATATTAAGGGTGAAAGTTTGGAAAAGCAAAATTCATGGCTTGGGTGATGTGATGAAAGCTGTCCCTGTAGGGATAATGCTACAGCGCCTTTCCTATCCGTATTGCGGTATGGAGGTAGGATAAACAACAGACTGACAAAAGTCTCTTAGGAAAGGACAAAATCAGAGGCTAAACAGGTGGATTAGCATGTAGGGGATGGATACTTAGGTTTCCTATGGGGCTACAGCAATCTCTGCAGCATCACTGAGTACAATCGTGACACCGCAGCCTACGTGTGCCTTCATCTCCCCTCAATCAATACATTTCAGTGACAACATCGAGCTGTGACACGTCCTGGGCTGCATGTCACCTGCATGTCTGTCTCCTCACCATCTCCCCAGATTTCTTCTCTCCTTGTTATCATCCTCCACGCAACTGCCTTTCCTCCCATCCTTTCCTCTAGCTGCCACTTTCCCTTTGGCAAGTGGCTCAAAAGGGCTCTGTGCTCCTGTCACATGCAGGGAAGCCTTTTCTCACCCAGTGCTGGAGTGTTTTGTGGGGATAATTAACTGTGAAAAGCATCACTCTTGGTGGGGGGGAGAAGCTTAGTGGAACAACTAATTTAAAATCTTTGCATGGACTCCCCTTCATATACACGCTGAAGAATACACCCGTTTTTACAGAGCCTCAGCTGTCCCCAGAGTCTTATCTTGGTGTATATCAGCAGAAGTATTGAAAGATATTCTCTGGATTGATATCCATGGTGGGATGCTGGCAGGAGACTGGGCTAACGGCAGTCGATAAAGCCTCCAAGGCTTGGTGTGGAGTTGATGGAAATGCTTTCAGTTTCAGAGCTGATGATCCAGCCCATCAAACAGCATGGGTTCACTGGCAAAATAGTTAGGAAGTTTTGCTGCAATTAAATAGCCTATAAATAGCTGTGCTGCATAAGGGATGTATTCACATCTATATAAAATGCAGTCAATGTATGTTCAGAAAAACCTCATTGTAATCTGGATTTCTATGTGGGGATTTTCTGTAGAAGTAGAAAAAGATCTTAAATTCTCAAAACCATGTTCAGTTTTTCAGTGGAAATACAAGTGGCAAAAACCTCTACAGAAGGCTGAAGCATTTGAGCATTAGGTCACAGAGATAGCAGTGGGAAAAAAAAGTTTATATTTTCTTCCTGAAAATAGTTTACACAGAAGTGCCGTTTTCATTGAAAATCAACTTTATTTTGGATTAGGAGTTTCACAAAAAATTTGCCTTTGATAAAAGAGAAGGAGGTGAAAAAATGGTGTTTGTTGCATGGGTACTAACCTCTCTTTCTTTCTTTCTCTCTCTCTCCTTTCCTACACTTTCCTCCCCTTGCAGCAAGAAAAACAGCAGACACCAAACAAGAGACCCTGGGAAGGAATCAGGAAAGTCCAGTCCCCACCATCATGGGTTAAAAAGGACATCGAACCTGTGGCACAGTCTCCCCTAGAACTAAAAACTGTAGAGTGGGAGAAAACAGGGGCCACCATCCCTTTGGTGGGACAAGACATTATTGACCTTCAGACAGAGGTCTGAGCCGAAAGGGAAAAAGGGACTTTTTTTTTTTCCGGACAACAAACGAAACAAACAAAACAAAACTACGTTTTAAAGAAATGATTAAATTAAATCGGAACCGAGCGAGAGAAGTGTTTGGTTTCTTTTGAAACCTTTGGTAAGACGGAGTAACTTTTGTATTGTTCTCAGCAGAGAGGGGGAATATTACTTTATAGAGTATAGTAGCTGTAGGTTCAGGGACAACACGAGCTTTCCCAGGTAGGACTGGAGAAGAAGCGAACCTGGAAGAGAGCGAGGAGGAGGCAGAGGGTGGGGAGGGGATGCAGGGGACGAACCCTGCCCAGATGCTTTCGGGCTGTTGCCGCACGCCGGGAGCCTTCCTGCTGTGCCACGCGGAGGTGTGGAAGGACGCCCGGCAGCCACCGCGAAGGGCCAAGAAGATCAGCGTTGTTTGTGGACCACAAGAAGGGACGCCTGCGGGAGCCTCGCTGGGATGCGGTCTGGCCGTAGATCCCCGGGGGAGACCCAGCCTTGAGGGTCTGTGGCATCCCTTGTCGATCCTTGCCCCCCACCTCTCTCTCACCAGCTCATCCAAGAAGGAAGGAGATGGGATGCACCAAGCGGTGGCCAAGAAGACATTCCCACTCCTATGTGCCACACCGTGACCTGGTATGGTGGCACCCCTGCAGCGGGTCCCCACGGGGCCTGGAGGGGGAAGTGGTGGCGTCATCCGTGGCTTAGGTGGAGAGGTAAGGTGGGGCTTCCTCCTCTCATCCCTCCACAGCGGAGCTTCTGCGCACCCTAAGGAGTGGGACAGGCGCGGGAGGAAAGGACCACCTCCAAAACCTGCTCGCCCCGTCTCCAGGGAGAGGGTCGAAAGTGTTAGAAAAACAGACCAACAAGAAGAATGTAGGTCATTTCATGGACTGTTAGATAAACTCAGCACGGGCCTTGCAAAGGTCCTCTTGGCCTCATCCTCTTTTTTTTTTTTTTTCCTGTTATTTTTCCTTGCTGGACTCAGATTTATTCCAAGGTGCCCCTCCCTGGAAGGCAGAGAGAGAAAGAGGGAAAGACAGATGCGCCAATGTACCTGGAGATATTTGGTATACAGAGATGTTGCCTTAGGACATTGAGACAAACTGACAACACGAATAACATCCACTTGGAAACAAACAAACAAACAAACAGACAAACAAACAAAATAATCTATTTTTTTCCTTCTTCTTTTCTTTTCTTCAATAAAAAGAGAACTTGAAACCCGAGACCTTTCTTTTCTTTGGCTCTTGTCATTTCAAATGCCTTTCTGTGCTGTAGGACTGCGCAGGCATGGGGTGAGGATGCCACCTGCTGAAGGTGGAAGGCAAGTTGCTCCGTGGAAAGTTTGGGATGGTGGGAACACACGGCCCCTTCGCCGCTGGCTTGTAACGTTTTGCTTTGTTTTATTCAGTTTGGGTTTTGGTTATTTTCCCCTCGCTGGCTCTTCTGCCTCCCCGCTGCCCAGAGCCAGCAAGCAGGTTTGTGGTCCTACAAGAAGGAAGAGGTGGAGCTGATCAGGAGAGCAGGACATTCCTCATCATAAAATACTGTCTTTTTATTTCACCATGAAAAAAATAATAATGTTTTTAAATTTTTTTCATTAAGCATTTCTCAACGCTATTTACAAAAAATAAGTTATCTACATTTCACGCCCACAAGTCTTGTGCAATATTTTTATCGTTAAAAAATATGCCACTGACATTACATGCAGACTTCTTTTTTTTTTTTTTTTATCATTCCCAGCACTGTCTGTCTGATGTTTGGAACAACTCTCCCAGCTTTGGAGACGTGCGACAACAAACCTCTGGTTGTGAGTGGCCAGATTGTACCAGACAGCAGTAAAGCTTGATCAGGGTCTGAGTTAGTCATTACTGTGTGTTTGGGTCGTTGTTTTTTTGGTTTTTTTTTTTTAAAAAAAAAAACACAAACAAACCAAAACCAAAACATTTTTAGGAAAAAGCTAGCAATGGATACAAGATGCAAAACAATCACTGACCCCAGTTGTGCTTCCCCCACTGAGAGATGTTGCTTGATGTGCAAACATCCCCGCTTCAACTTTCCTTTTGGCCACCTGGGTAACTGATCTTTAAGGACAGTGGCATTTACCTTGCCATTAACTGTGTAATATGAAGGATGGAAAGAAAAAATTATAAAAAATTTTCAAATAGTTAACAAGTAGGGAAACTGATTACTTATAAAAACTGTGATATTATTGTTCAATTTTAGATTATTCTATGAAACAGGAAAGCACAAAGGCCTCCCTCAGATGCCGGGTTGTATGATATTGTAATTATTATAATTACACATTATGAATTTTAGCATACAGATATCTTTCTACTGTGTTTTAATTCTTTTATCTTTTTTTTTTCCCCCTTCCCCTGCCCGACCGAGCCTGCCCTTTTCTCTCCCACCTTCCCCATTCACCCATTCACTTCAGCCGACTTGCAAGACATTAACGGTGTTATGTAATTACAGAGATAAATGTTTGTTTAATAACTGTTGATATACGACTTTCTCTGCTCAGCTCCTCCGGTTAATTCTGTTTTCCCATGCCCTGCCCTGCCCCGCGCCATGCCTTCCCCTCCCTCCTCTCCGTGTTCGTCAATTTTTTTTTTTTTTCTGTACAGTTTTCAGAGCACAAAATGAATGTGTCTTATTTCTAATAAAAGAGGTGTAAACTCCAGCGATGTCTGCTTTTTAAAAGCGCCCCTGCCCGTGCCCCACGTGTGGTTTGCATCGCGCCTGGGTGCTGGGAAACACCTCTCCTGGATCTGCAAGCTGCCACCTTGGCTCTCTACTCTGAAAGAGCCACAGCCCAGGGCCAAACTTGCCCCACGAGTGCATCTTTTGCTTTTAGCTTTGTAGCTTCTTGACACCCCCAAAAATACCTCCCCTTGTGATGCACTTTTCCAGGGCATGAGGAATTCCCTTTTCTGTGCAGCGCAGCCTACTTTTGTGCAGGTATCTCTAGCCCAAGCCTTGATGCCCTCTTCCCAATATACGATGTCAGGGGGCCAATATTTAACACAGATCAAGCAGCATTACTGGTAGAGGGCGGCAGTGCTGGAATCTCATTTCCAACGGGACCAGGGTGATGCTGATGTTACCCTGCTTGCATGCCTGCAAAGCCAATCTCAACTTCACCTGGAACTCCCTGCCACCTCCTGCATTACCAGGCAGGATGCGAGCAGGAGCACGGCTCCGTGCGTGAGGGGGGTTAAGGATATCACTCATGAAAGATTACAAGAAATGAGTTGAGCTAGGGATTATTCACTTCCTTGGTGCTTACCCTTGAATGGCTGAAATCCTCCAAGAAAATGTGGCCTTATCTCCCTGACTCTGCTCCATCACCTGATTTACAGTGTTTTAGGCTTATAGGCAGGACTGCAGGAGGCTTAGGGGTCTGTCAAATCGAATCCAAGGCTGCGGCTCTCCAGAGCCTTGATCCAAAGCCATTATGGCCCAGTAGGTTCCAGATGTAATGACTTCTTTTGGCCTGGCTGAAATGAATTGGATATCCTGAAACATCTGAAATGATTGCAGAAGTGTGGGGCTGCCCAGAGGCTCTTAGCTCAGTCTCCCCATCCCTGAGCCATGATCCAACCCTTCTTCAGTCAGCAGTGCCTGATGGTGAGTCCCAAGCTTTCTCCATCCTTCCTACAGGGGTGTTTCTCACCCTGCATCTCCCATACCATGACTCTATAGCATTCACAGGCAGAAGGGGAATAGTAACCACCAGGCACCACATGACATGATGAGCTGGGAGGGCAGGAGACCCCAAACCTCGGATCACAGCCCTAGAGATGGGTCAGGAGGTCCTGCTCCTCATCAAAGGGAGCTGGAAGGAGGGAGCACTTGCCCTTGCTGGGTTCACGGGACTGTAAATAACAGCTCTGTCAGAGATGGTAGATGGAGGAGGTCAATGTATGTACAGGTGGTTTTGGGTTGCACTGTGGTTATAACGTGGTGTGGCTGCAAGGGAGGGTCACGGGATAGTTCAGCTTGGTAAGGGCCTCCTGAGGTTCCCCTGAACTGTCCTATGACCCCGTGATCCTGCGTTGCAGCCACGTCAGGCTATAGCCATGGGGTAAAGAGAGAACACCTATGCATACAGCATGATCTCACAAGGAGGAAGCACAGCCACGCTGTGGCAGTGGATAAATGGTACGTTGCACATGTAAGAAATCATACTTCTTGGTTGCAATGCTGGGAAAACATGGCTGTGCTGGAAAATTGAGAAGAATCTGAAAATTGAAGAAAATGCAAAACATTTCCCTTGGGCTGACCATATAAGAAAAAGCCCATATGGAGCAAGACACCATTCCTGGAAGATCTGGGACATGGGCAGGAGGTTACTCTCTGCAGTCGATCTATTTTGTGGCTGAAGGGAGTGTTTGGGCTCACTATGCTGCTATCTGAGGTGTCCAAGATGAGGTAGGATGAATCTGGGCCTGAGCTGAATATCTGTTCCTGAGCTCCTGTTGTGACGAGATCTAAACAAAGAATAAAAGAAAGAAGATGACTGTTGGGTATTTTTCTTCTTATTTTCCCCAACCCACTCCTCCCAGGAAGAGGTCAGTGCCTCCCCAGGGAAGTGTCTGCCTTGCAGCTTTCAAGCAAATAGAAAACACCTTCAAAGTAGCTTTCAACAGCCTTCTGAGTAAGGACTCCTCAGGGGATCCATGTAGAGGACCTCTCCAGGTGTTGATTGCTCAGACCTATTTTCATTCATGGTTTTCCAAAAAAACTTTTTATGTATCTGAGGCGGAAAGCTCCCTTATGCTGGCAAGTCCCTTGAGTAGGCCAATTTCATACCAAGCCTTAGAGATGACAGCGTGGAAGACAAGCACAGTTCCTAAGCTGAGGCCGTGCAGGACTTTAGGTTGAATGGTCAAAATCCTTTCTTCCCGGCCTTGAAAACCTAAGAATCCTTTTAGGACATGATGCTGAATAGCGCCAATAGAGAAACTCACTCTGCTGATTGTATGCGTATTATGCT